AATTATAGAGTTTTTTTTTTTTTTTGTTGTTAATTTACAAAATTAAGTATTATGGTCATGTACCATCATTTGGAGAACATAACACAATTTTAAACAATGTTAATAGTTGCCAAGGCGAATACGAAAAAAAAAAATATATATATATATATTACTGAACTTAATTCTCATTTAACACAAATACAATGTTCTTCATGTTTCTTTCTTTTACTGCTTTTCAATTCTCTATAGTTCAAGATTTGAGTTCTTTATCTCCACGGGGCACACGCAACAGGAAAACTTGTATCGCTGAATTATTGTAATCGCGCAACAGTCGAAATACGAAAATCTTATTATTTCGTGACAGTGAAAGTAATCTAGGACTAGAGGTTTCATTAATAATAATAATAATAATAGTAACAATAACATTAACATTAATAAGCCAATAATATTAATATTAATAATAACGTAATTAAGTAATACTAACGATATTAATAATAATAATAAAAAAATAATAATAATATAGTAATGGCAAGATACACGCAAGTATAAATTAGTCGTACCTTTCTTAATATTTATGACATTTTCGGGCCGTCCTTTAGAAATTGCTTCATATCTGGTCAATAACCATTAACAAGCAATTTTAACATTGTTGCACCTTCTTTTTCTAAGAACAATCTCTGATTTTTCCACATCAATCGGTTAAAAGTTGTTCAAAACATTGTTTTCGTATGATTAATAAACTTTGCTGTTCGCACAATATCGAAATTATGAAAATCGTTCTTTGGAAACACAATCATTCCTCTCTCTTTTAATTAAAAAACGAGCTTCTTTGACGCACATTTCTCAACACACCTCCGATGCTTTCTGTATATTATAATAATGATACAGCTCGTTTTTCAAAGAAAGGCTTAACACGTCGACGAGTTAAAAAGTTCATGAGATATGAATGAGTAATCAAATGCATTCAACAAGCGAAACAACAAAATTCGCCGTTTCACCGAATAAAAACGGAGTTCGCAATGTACACAAAGTGAAACAAAAGTTAGTAAATCAATTTTCATTTCGTTTTATGGTCCCATGTAAAACTTTTGATCAAGGCATTTCACTTTAATTCCCCTTATTGTCTCAATTGATCGCAACTCCACAAAATTTCGCAAATTTTTTTTTTACTACTTTTGAACCTAACTTCTTCGCTTTTGCTTGGTCAAGCTGTGATCTTCAAAGCAACGAGTTAACTTCGCAAAGTACCTTCCAGCTGACATTGAATACTAATGTAAAAAGTCGGACAATAAAAAGAATAAATTACATCTTTCGTTTTTGTTAAGAGTCGGAGAAACGCAGAATTTTAACTCAAACGTTTAATTGACCAGGCGCTGGCAGGTTCAGTGTTAAACCAACGTGGACAATTCGTGCGGACTGTTGGTGGTGGCTGCGCTGCTTAAATCCAACGTGGCAGCCGGAAGACCGGGACTGACGCTGCCGGTCGCCTCCCGTGGCAAAGGTTGCGATCTGTTCAACTTGTTTCCAGGACTCGGTGGTGATCTATCCGCTGGTGTGTCCGGTGGAGTGACCACGTTTCTGTGCCCGGTCACGTTCAGATGATTGTGCGTCGCAGCAATCGGAGCTGGCGATGAGAGCAACAAGGGCGGTGGTGACATTGACACGTGTCGATGATGATGATGGTGATGATAGTGTTGATACTGTGTAGCACGGCCGTGCGTTGCGTGGCTGACGTTTAGCTGATTCGTCGCAGGGCCGACTTTCGTTGGGCAGCCGGCGTGGTGGATGGTCAACGGGCTACGTAGTTGTTGATGCTGTTGCAACTGGGGCTGGTTTTGGTACTGTTGCAGCTGCTGCTGACGCTGCAGCTGCACCGCCGCCTCGCACTGTTCGCGCGCTAATGCCTTCACGGCATTCGTCTTCTCCTGGGAAGTGATAAGAATGACCGGTTAGGTTGATTGTAACTAAAGATTGTAAACGTCGCGACTTTTTGTGAATTCTGGTAGATACTGGATGACATACGGATTGAAAGATCAAATGTGTGCCACGACGACTTTCAAAAAATAAACACATTTTCAAGATGTGTTTGAACGAGTAGGATTTTTTTTTTTTTTTATGTATAAAAAATGTCTTTACCCTTTGCCACACGAAGACGTTATGAACCATTGCGCATCCACAAAACACAATGCCAAGACCTATGAAAACCGATGTAACGATTGCCGGTGTCGAATGAAACTGGATGAATGTGTACAGTATCATACCTGAAAACATCATACATTGAATATGCATAATAAGCATGTCATAACAGGTAAAATAATGAATTAATGTGTGAAGACATATATTGTTGAGATTTATAATTTCTCGAAACTGTAAATTTTATATAGTAAACAGTTTTCAATTGATTCATTATTTAAATACTCCGAATATCAATTTCTTTTCATAGACAAATCATCTGTATTTAGAGAATTATTTCTGATTAATTTTAAAATTGAGAAATCTACATTTTGAAGTTTTTCAGAATATATAAAAAGATCTCGAAATCTATCCATGAACCGTGTTAATAATATAAAACGAATTTATTAAAGCTATTTTTCAATAAATGCAATTATTAGAATTTAGTAGGAAGAAACATTATTTTTTAGCTTTATAAGAAAAATAATTCGACATTAAAATCCGTTTTATTTGTAATTCATTGCGCTTTTCAAGAACTCATGCTTGAGTGAAAGAAATACTAAACGTATAAATTCTCTTCAATATCTCTCCAAAGGTTAAAACTTGACAGGATTGGAGGAATTGACACTTACCAGTTAGAAAGACGGGAATGCTAATGAAAAACCCTCCGACAGCACATATCCGGCTGATGGATGATTTTTGCAGATACTTGTTACTCCTGAAATACAAAAAAAGAATATAGGAGAAAGTGAATTTCACGATTCTGTGATAATTAAGCGAAATATAAAGAAACCAGTTTTCTATTTAACAACCACATGAACACCCCAAAAATCCTAACTGATACTTCAAATACATTTGTTAAAACAAAAAAAAATAATATAACAATCAGAATATTAATCTTAATTTAGGATCAAACAACGTACGTGTATAAAAGTAAATGTTACAAAATCCGGATTTGGTGGATTATTTTAGACTGATGAAGTAAGTTGTAAAATAATTTTAATTACAAAATAACTTCGGTTTAATCTTACTTTTGGTAAATTACTTGTTTTGCTTAGGTTTCTTTGATCATCACACCGGTATTAAGTCAGTATTAAACACATAAAACGATAAATATAATTCTTTTAAGATTTATTTTATTTTATTTTTATTATTTACTTTAAGAACATAATATTTATAGACTCTTACACATAATCCTTCCGCTGTGTATTTAAATTTTTCATGCAATTCTTCAGAAAAGCCAATTTTAGTGCAATGCCGCAGCAAAAGGATTAAAAAGCAACCAGATATTAAACAGAACTGTGACATTATATAGACATTATGTACTTCGAAAATACATAATATACGTCAGGTTCTGATATCGACCTTGAAAAAAATCGGAGTCTTTTCTGCACCCTTTGTGATTTAGCTGACATAGCTGACGTAGAAATTATAATCTATATCATATTCTATATCGATGCATATCAAAAGTAATCAATATTTAATAGTAAGTACTCGAAATTTCATCGATACTTCCCCATTGAATATTTTGATATTAAATTCGACCGATTGTGAGTATCATCGTCAGTAGCATCAATATAGATTTGAAAATGGAATTGATAGATCTGACGGAGTAACTTGTGGCATATAAATTTATTTCGCTAATAATATTCATTCAATTGTGCGACAGAGTCTAGATTACCGAACGAACCACACGATCCAGAGAGATTTACGATCGCGAAGGAAACATATGCCGTTATGGATGTTTCCTGGTGGCGACTAATCACCACGCGTTAAGAACATTGTAACTGGAATCAAGGAAGAGTTAGCGACTTCCTGGAATAATCCTTTCGTGTTCTCGATGAATGTCTCTTCGCAGTGTGGCAGTGAGCCGTTTTTCCTTATGATCGTACGAACAGTTTTGTATTGCTTTAACATTCGCACGACCATCGATGTAACTGATCTTTTTTCTTCCATCTTTTTCCACTCGTTTTTACTCCTAATTTCTTCTTTCCTAACGAAGATAGCTAGAAACTCTCGGATTACGTAATAATTTAGCAGGATGTCCTATAACAGATGTCTACAACTTTGAATAATATTCGTGCGAATACAAATAAACGCGATAACGAACAATGTTTCTCGTTAAATCAAAATAACAAAACGTAAGAAATTTATAGATTTACGCATGGATGCTTTTATACGTGTAAAAATTTAAACGCAATAAATTAAATTTACACTACATATATATTTGTGTGCTCTTAAAATGTATGTATGTATTAAGAATGTATGTACTATTCTTAATGTATATGTATATTACATATGTATGTATATGAAGATATGTAAATATCTTCTAAGAAACGAATGCTACAAGGAGCAAAGTATAACAAATTATGTATTATGGGACATTACATTGTATTGTTAGTAAATTAACAAGATATAAGGTATAAGTTTTGCAAATTTTATGTCTATAATTTTGCAATCTTACGTTATAGAGAAATTTAATAATGAGATAACTTATAATTTGCAAAATATACTTAGTACTTTTATGCAATGGAATTTGTTAATAACAATAATCTGAAAAATCTGGTGACTCAATGATTTGACTTGTAAAATTTTACCAATAATATTAGTCCAATTATACAAGAGAATCCCAGTGCATTTGATCATATTCTAATGACATTTTCAAGTTAGCGTGCAACAAAATTGAGATTTTACATTACGAAATTGAGATTTAGCGATACTTGAATTAAATAATAATTGTTTGCTTTCAATTGAAGCTTCAATAATTCTCACATTAAAAGGAAATATGGCATCTATAACAATATACATACATATATACAACAATATACATACATACATACATTTCTGAATAATGTGAAATCAACTTTATTTCTTCCTATGTTCGTTACCGTCTTTTAATTTCAATATTTTGTTATATTTGTAATTTGTAACTATCACTTTTTTTTAAATGAATAGTTGGTAAAGGGTTAAATTCTATATGGGAATATAAAAGGGAACATGACAGTTTTTGCACGTGGAATCATTCGGTCAGGGCATTTGTTATTTCCGGGCAAAAACAGACGAATCCTCGCGCTGATTTTAAACAAGTTTCGTCCGAATAGGCTACAATAAGAAATTCCCACGAAGCGGTCGCGTCCATCCTCTTTCGAGGTCGGCGACCTCTTTGGATGCATTTCAAGAGCACCGTACCAATGAAACATCGAGTTCTAGACTAATTCCTCTTGGTCTCTTGGATGTGCACGCGTAAATTTAACTTTCCGCGTTAGTGTACTTGGAGCGAACTTTTATTTTTTTCGCTTTCGCCAACTTCGCCAACGAAACAGTCTCAACATCTATGAGTAAAACTGTCTCGTCGATATCACTTACGTACATACGTCTTGCTTCGTACATTTCTCATCTTGACCTATTTGTCAGTAAAATTTCAAACTCGGGTGAAGGAGTAATTCAAATATAGTCTATACTGGATCAACAATTTGTATAAGTTGTCCTTTATATTTGTTTGAAGTGTGCATGTCACGATTACTCACATGTCGGTATTAATATTAATACGCACTAAAATGTGGTTGCCCTACATTTTCACGAGCGTTAAAATTTAAAATTTCAAGCTGAATCGTCTACAATGGTTCCAAAGGAAATAGCTTGTGCTGCGAGACACAACTGTATAACTCGAATTCCCGCAAACAAACTTATGCAAACTACCTAAACACGTACGTACGCTAGGAAATTGACTTCCATTCTCTGCCAAAACCACGGACACGCGGGATCAATTTCACCGCTCGAGTCGGTTGGCTATAGGGCAAAAGAAGGCAGAGTCGAAGGTGCCTGGGTTTAAGGAGCATAGCTGGCAAAGAATCGCGTGCCACCGCGCCATTAAGATTAAGCCCGGTCTCAACAATAAATATTGGGCGGTTCTCTGACCTGCATTTCGCGTGCGACTCCGAACGATTCAGAAACGCCGAGCCCTTTCCATGAATCGAGTCAAACGTTCGCGATTTATCGCAATCAGGTTACGCCAATATTATCCACGGACGAAAATACAGAAAACATACAACATTCTCTCAACTTTACCGTAGTAACAGTTTGTAATCTATGGCAATAATTAGCAATACTAGATATTTCGAATATGTATGTAGGGAAAAGTTCAAATTGGAAAGTTAAATGTTTATATAGTAGTTTAGTATAGTATAGTATAGTATGGTAGTAGTATAGCAGTGTAATATAGTATAACATAGTGTATAATAGCGGTGATGCTATAATATAATATACAGTAGTAGTAGTATAATAGTATAATATAGTATAATAGTATACAGTAGTAGTAGTACAGTATAGTGTAATATAGTATAATAGTATACAGTAGTAGTAGTACAGTATAGTGTAATATAGTATAATAGTATACAGTAGTAGTACAGTAGAGTGTAATATAGTATAATAGTATACAGTAGTAGTACAGTATAGTATAGTAGTAGAGTGGTAGTTAAAATTTAATATAATATAGTATACAGTAGTATAATATAGTATACTATATAGTAGTATAATATAGTATACAGTAGTAGTAGTATAATATAGTATACAGTAATATAATATAGTATAATATAGTATACAGTAGTAGTAGTACAGTATAATATAGTAGTATAGTGGTAGTTAAAATTTAATTTCTTCTAAGTAAAAAATGGAAGTTTGTATTATTTTGGTATCCTTTGTTCCTTTTCAGCTGCATCGTACTCGACATAATAATTCATTCTTCGGTTGGTAAATTAACAAGACTCCAATCATTACAAATATCCCGCGCAACCTTTTATCTTCTTTCCGCAAGCTAAATTCTAACAAGTTAGTACGTACTCGTTGAATCGTACATTTATAAAATGATAACTTCGTGTCGACAACGATGAACAGTAGAATAAAACGCTACAATGTGTAACTTTAGTCGATTGTTAACTAATTAAGAGAGTTTTGGTCAATAATCGCACGTGTCTAGTGCTTACTTCACTGCATGAATAAACATAGAAGAGTTTGCCGCACGTGTGTTATTCCATATTTGTTTAGACACGCGTGAAACCTCTCATTTTATATTGAGTACGCTTATTTGGATTGTTACTTAAAAAGCAGCCATGTATAATCGAACCACCCTTCAAGATCAAGGCTCAAAACTAATATCTTGGCTCCCTTAAAAATAAAAGACGAGAAGAGAAGCTTATTCTACCAGGCTTTGTGAGAAGTGAATAAAGACTGTGCCGGTTATTTTATGCGACTTTCTGGTGACTTTGAAGGGGGCAAGATCTCGTTGATCTCGTCTAAGCGGAAAGGAGTCTCTCGGCCTTTTGATTTCGTACGAGTCTTTTCATTCATGATCGCGCGAGCCGGCTACAGGCGACGACACCGGACCCCTCGACAAAACCGTCTGAGCTTATTCAACGAGCGACGTCAAATAGTTTAACCTGAGGAGATGTGAATGGAGATGAGAATCAGCGTTCTCTATGCTTCAATGACAATGATATCTGGTAAATCCTCTTTTTGTTTCTCGTTTTCAAAGGAGATTATAAGGAGGAGCGTTACTGGATCGTGTGAGAAAATCGCACGATACACGTCGCGCTATGTTATTGATTTATTTATCAATAACAAACACAATAAAATTTCTAGATCTCTTGATCTAGTAATATTTTATTTAGATTTCTCAGATTGATCTAGTGACATTTCATATTCCTGGCCTTGAAAAGTATA